AAGGGAATCAGTGAAATCACCCTAGAAAATGTACAAAGAGGGAGAAAAAGACAGGCCTACACATGGATGGGCTTTAATACCTTGAGACCAGCACAGCCCCGCAGCTCCTCAGTCCCTGTCAGGTGCTAATACAAGCTCTGGTTTTCAGCTGCACCTTGTTGCTGCAGAGAAAAGGAAAACAGCTTGAGGCAGCAGCAGCTAATTTCATCAGGCTTATCTGCAGTCTAGGGAAGGAAGAGCTGGCTGTCATAGCTACCTTTTATTTTTCTTCACAGCTGTAAGGTTTCATGAGCATCTCTTCCTTGCTTCCATGGGCAATTTCAAGGAGCAGATGTTGATGTCAGTCTCCCCAATAAGACTTTTGTGTGCTCTTTTGCCTGGCCTGATTTCTTGGAGGTCACACAGAAGGAAGCCAGAAGGTGACATTTTGATCACTTGGACCATCTGCAGATCACAGACTGTAACTTTGGCTTAAACTAGGTCATAGCTTTTTAAAATAAAGATCAAACCTGCAACTATGACTTAAGACCAAGGCTGGGAGTGTTTTGTGCATGACTGCAGGCTGTTCCACTGATGGACTGTTGGGCTTCATTTTGTGTTCATTTAGAAGGCAGGAGCAGTAGCCACAGCTTATATTTCCTCAGTGCTAAGCATTAGAAACCCTAAAAAGAAAAAAAAAAAAAGCCCTAAAAAAAAAAAAAAAAAGATATTTAGTTATATTTAACTGTAAGGAAGGAGGAGAAGATGGATGCAAAGTGATGAGAGAAGAAACGTGAGCATATCTTTGCTGTCAGACACTGAAATTGCAATACACAAGCTATGCTGAGTGTTAGAACAATGACACTGCAGCAGCACAGTGCTATTTGGGGCAGCAGTCCCAGAAATTAGCTCCCATGGAACTTCAGGATCTCTTTTATGGCTAAATTGCTCCTACTGCATTAATGAGCTGTGTATCAGTGCTATTCTGTGCTTACAGTCTCACTTGTCATTGATCACAGAATCATAGAATCCTTAGACTTGGAAGAGACCTCTGAAGGCCATCAAGTCCAAATCCTCTGCACTGAACAAGGACACCTACAGCTACATCAGGTTGTCCATGGCCCGATCCAGTCTTGCCTTGAAAGTCTCCAGGATGGGGCATCAACCACAACACTGGGCAACCTGCTTCAGTGCCTCACCACCCTCACTGTAAAAGATTTTTTTATATCTAACCTAAATCTACCCTTTTTGATCTTGAAACCATTTCCCCTTGTCCTATTACCACAGATCCTGCTAAAGAGTGTCTTTCTTGTAGCTCCCCTTTAGATACTGAAAGGCCTCTATCAGGTCACCTCTCAGCCTTTTCTTCTCCAGGCTGATCTATAGATGCTTCCAGATGTAGACAGGTACGTTGGTTCATTTTGTGGACATATTGATAATGTTATAACACTTGAAAAGGACCATGAGGTAGGCTGATGGGTTTGTGTGTGGATGGAGACTTCACACAGCCTTTGGAGATGAGAACACAACAGTGCTTGATGCAGTGTCTATCAAGGGTTGAGTGGAGGTTGGTGTTAGAAAGCAGCCAAAAATGGGATTAGATCTTTGCACTCTCTGTGAAAAAAGAGATGCCCTGAAACACCGCAAATCTGTCAGAAGGATAGAAAGAGAAGGACAAAAATACTCAATGCCATCAACACAGTGCTGACACTGAAACTGAGATCCCACTTACCTCTGCAGTTAGATATCTTCACCCTCCATGTACTGTGTCTTGCTCTATCTGGATTGCTAGGTCAGGAGGTCTTCATTTCAGAGAATGATCTCAATAGTTCTGCTCTTCAGCACCTTTCTCAGACATGACTGAAATAGGACATGTCATTTTAATGACAGTTGCAGTCATTCTAGGGACAGTTCGACTGTCCTCACACCTGTACATCCCCTTGCCCATTTTACTGAGTACTAATTTATCTCCCCTTTGTTCATGGGCACTTTTGGTCTGTGCACCAGCAAGGCTTTTACAGAGTAACTGAATTTTCCTGCGTTTTTCCTCTTGTAAACATGATCCAGATGTTTCAGATGAAAGTACATGTGAGTCTACTAAAACATAATGTCTGTTGTGGTTTACCAAGCGGTCCTGTGCTTTGTCATTCATAATAATAACTCAGCTGATCTATGAATAGGCCAAGACACAGCAGTGTTATCTTGACCAGCAGACGTCTTGTTTTCCTCTACTTTTAGATTGCCACCTATCTGACTGAACAAAGCTTTCTGACAAAGGCCAGATGACCCACAGGAGATGTTTATCAGTTGTCCCTCTGCACTCCCCCAGCAGAGCCTGTTGCAGCTTTCTGGCTGCATGCTGCAATTCAGCAGAACCACTTGCTTTTGATTATTACAAAGCCCTCCAGTGTCAGCCAAGAAGGTGGATATCAAACTTGTGTGCATTGAGTGCTGCCAGCAACACATCATAAATAATAGTAATGGAGTGTAATTGCTCATCAAACCAAATCATAGCCTGGAGTGCTCCATCTGTCCATGCTCTCTTTGAAGTCGATGGTGGCTTGTGCCAGCAGGTGTGCAATGGGACTAGGGCAGCAGTGCCATCAATGAGATTTTCAGCAGCACCGCTACAGGATCTGATGCAGAGCCACACGAAACCTCTGGGTGTCATTGCACTGAGAAGGAAGGCTTTAGCTAACTGCCCTTTGCTAAACTGCTTCCCAGTCACTATGGATATTTCTGTGCAACAGTTATCCCAGAAGGAGCAGGGTGGGGGAAATTCCTGACCCTAAGCAATGGTGTTTTAAGTTTCGAAAGGAGATGGAAACTCAACCAAACGTGGTCCTGATAGCAAGTTTGCTTTGCGGTAATTTGGAACTTGGAGATGTCTGAGACCCTTTGGAGGATGCCACTGAAAGAAAAACAAAACAGAACAAAACAGCTTTTAATTGGGACAGAAAAGCATTGTGTCTCTAGCATAAGGCCTACAAAAGCCAAACAGGCTGGTGAGCTTCCCATCAGTCACCCATTGCTATCTGACATTGGTACAGCCCTTGGCTAATGAAAATAATTTACTGCACCCTCATGAAAATAACTCACCGTCCCCATTTCACGCTGAACATTCACTGTTGTGGTTCAAAACTGTGATTAACTGGTTGGCCATAAATTTCCTTCCCTTCCCCCTTCGCCTCCCACTTCTCCTTGTGTAAAGCCGGGTTAAGGCATAGCGGGTTGTGTGATGTAAGTGCTCTATTCTTCATGCCCCACACATCCTCACTAATGCTGATAGCACTGCTGTGGCTTTGGGAAGTATCATCACCGTTGTACAGAGATGGAACAGGAGCTGGAGAGAGATAAATGGCACAGTTAGCAGAACTTCCTTACCTCCCACAGCCCTCGTTGGCTGCAAATGATATTCAGATAATGCCGATAGATGTTAGAGCAGGTGTGAAGAAGTGTGGCCCCTCCATCTCCAGATGTCTTTCCATGTGTTTTCCCTCCAGCTCTGGGAAATAGAAGGATGGCTCTGAGCAGAAATCCTTTGGGAAGCAGTGTGTGAGCTGTTCGAGTAGGTGGCAAATCTGTTTCTCTGTGTGTCTGGAAGGGCTTTTGGGTTTGTTGGCATCTCTTCAGGAGATACCAGGAAAACTCCCCCAGGTGGGGGAGGAGGACTTCTCATGGAAACAACATGCAATCTGTAAGGCTTTGTCTCTTTTATTTAATTATTATTAGCTGTAAAGGAGGAAGGATTAGATGTATCCCACCAAGGTGCAGCCGTGTGAATACTCAGCTCTGCGGGGAGGTTTTCACAGATCAGCTTTAAGAGAAAAAGGGGATTCTGCTGCAGTGTTGTGGCAGAAATCCCAGGGCAACAGGGCTGCAGGGAGCACAAAGCAGATATTGGCTTCCCTGCAGCCAGGAAACCGAAAGAGCTGACGATCCCATCCCTTGTGGATTTGGGTCCTGCTACTGATGCCTCAGGGTGGGGGCTGTAGCTGTGCTCGGCTCTGCTCCCACATAGAGCCATTCACTTTGGCTACTGCTTTGAGGACCGCAGCCCGTGTTACGGTAGTAGGACCAGCATCCCCCGCAGGAGAGCCGTGCCGAAACCCGAAGCCCGGCGTGGCTGGAGGATGCACGGCCGCGCTGCCCCCAAGCCCCTTCCCCGGGTGGAAGCTCGTCTCGTCTCCGAGCGAGCCGCATCGGCGAAGCAGAGCCCGCAGCCTCCTCTCCCGGCATCCTTCATCCCCATCCTCCCCTCCTTCCTGCTCCGGCGGCGAAAGCAAACCCCCGCGGGGGGCCGGGGATGCCCTTCCCTTTCCCTCCCTCCCCTCCAGCCGCAGCAAGGCGGGGTGGGCTGTGATGCTGCGGGGGTTCCCCGGGTGTTCGGAGGGGGCTCCCCTCCCGCCGGCTGCCGGGATCTCCCCGCTCGGCGGCCCCAGCAGGGGGCTGGCAGCCGGGGGTGGGAGGGGGGGAGGGGACGATAGGGACAGCCCCGCGGCCCCACGCAGCCGACTACAGACACCCGGGGCTGGGGGAGCGGGGGGCGGGCGCCGGGCTATTTGCTGCCTGCATACAATGGGCCACTCCCTAACGTGAGGGCTCGGGGAAAGGGGGGGGTGAGGGGGGTGGGGGGGGGGAGAAGGCAGGAGCTGGGAGGAGGAGGAGGAAGAGGAGGCGGGGGGGTGGAGGGGGGGAGGAAGGGGCTCGGGCATCGGGCTGGTAAATAAACTCCGCGATGATTTCCCTGCCTTGCGCCGGCCCAGGTGCTGCTGCCCGCCGGTGGGGATGACCTGAGGGGGATGTGACCGCCTCCCCCCACCCCATTTGCTACTCCCCTTTCCCCCCGTATTATAAGTATATATATATATATATACACACACTCCCATGTATATATATATATAAATCCGTAAAGAAATCCTTGTCGGGGGGGGAGGGGCGGGGAGCTCAGATCATGGCCTTGGGGCTCCCGGGGCTGCCGCCGCCGATCTGCAGCTCGCCTCCGGGGCCCGGCGCCCACCATGGGGCTGAAGGCGCGGCGCGGCGCGGCGGGCGGTAGCGGGGCCGGAGGGGCGGCGGAGGGGCGGCGGGCTGCGGGCGGCGGCGGAGGGGACCCCGAGCAGGGCTCGCTCGCCCTGGGCTCCGGAGCCGATCGCGACGGGACGCTGCTGCTGGAAGGCGGTGGGAAGGAGGAGGGCGGCAAGCGGAGCCCTCCGGGGTTGGGGCTGTTGGCGAAGACCCCCTTGAGCCGCCCGGTGAAGAGGAACCACGCCAAGTATCGCCGGATCCAAACTTTGATCTACGACGCCCTGGAACGACCCCGAGGCTGGGCGCTGCTCTACCACGGCTTCGTGTGAGTAACGCGGAGCGGGGCTGCCCGGGGGGATGCGCCGTTTTGCTTTATCATTCCCGACCGGGGGGACTTTTGTGATTCTGTCGTTCTCCGACTCGCTCCCAGCAGCGGAGGGGGGGACGGCAAGGAGCTTATTATGGGATGTGCTGATGTTTATTTATTTTTTTTCTTTTATTATTTTAATGTTTTTCTATCATCGGGTGTTCCAAAATGAGCATCTCGTAAGGCTCGGGCTCCCTCTGGCATGTCCCCCGCGTCGCTGTGCTCAAACGTGTGCCTCTTACACCCGGCTATAGGGACCGAGCTGTGAACGGTTTTAAGGCGCAGAGTGCTTAAGGGGACACTGCCGGCTTCAGTTCAGCGTAGAGCATTACATGTGGATGAAGTCGGTTTTCTAAACCCCGAGTGAACCGGCTCTTAAAAAGTGTCAGATGAAATCCGTGGGGTTTTGGTCCGGTAAGCATCACCCTACGGTGCACGAAACCCGAGTATTGCAGCACTGTCTGCCGGAAAGTTAAGCCGACCGCCAGCAAACACGGATGGAGCAAACTCATCTTCTGGCCCAAAGGGGATGAGTCAGGCACTGCTGTTTTGCCTTCCTAAAAAATCGGATCCCTTAAGCGTTCATAAAAATATAGGAAAATAAGTCTGCTTACAGCACGCGGAGAATTTGGCAGAGTCCTATTCATATTCAAGTGTTCTTTAGTGTTGTGAATGTGTGTGAAAACCCAAGGGACTATCAGTGGTCAGAGTGGTACTGCTGTTCTTTAAGGCTGTAACATACACAGGGTTCTATGTAATAGAGGATTTAACCGTGATTTCTGAAATTGGTTTGTTTGCCAAAGACAAAGTGCTGTAGGCTTTATGGGCTGGGAGCCTGGAGCTGAATCTGTAGAAGCCCTCCTCACTGGTGCTGTCTTGCATTTGCAAATAAACACCTTGAGTACAGGGCTGGGATTTTACCTTCAGGCAAATTTCTCGTGGATGTTTGTAGGGATTTAGCCCCAGGCAAGAAGCAAAAGGCAGCACTACTGATGTGCTGCTATGTACCACTCACCTATTGCTGCCCCCTTCTTTTCAATGTTTTCATAAAGTGTGTCTTGGGACAAAGGTTCTTGCTTTCCAGCTGGATTTCCATGAAAATGAGGACTGCTGTCACATTTTTTCCCCGTTCTTTATCCCCTTCTGCTTTAGGAAAAATTGAAATACCAGACAGGATGAGGCAGTATTTGAGGCTGGGGAAAGATGCTGTGATGGGGGAGGCTCTTTGGTAGCGAGCTTGCTGTAGGTTGTGCTCAGCATTACATAACACTGCTCCTGCTTGGGGTGAGCTGTATCTGGATGGATTTGCACCCCAGCTCATCCTGCATGGTCAGCCCATGCAGGCTGCATAAATAAGGCATTAGCACACATCAGAGCCTTATGAGCACGTGGCATCTCTGTTTGCAGACAGCTGTGGCAGCTGGGTCAAATCCACACCCAGACTTCTGTCTGGGTACAAGCAATAGGATGGTGGATGGGTCTAGAGAGGTTCAGGTGAGCTGATTTACTTTTATATGGGTATAAAAAATCTCAAGCTACAACATGCATTTTAGCCAGCTCTCTAGGTGTGAGATTACCCTTAAGATCCTTACGCAATGTGGACTGTAGCATGTTCATGGTTTGGAAAGGTTTGCTCCTTCTTAGGAATGGACCCAATCTTTTACATGGCCAGCTGTTCCTTGGTGACACATAGTGCTGCAAAACACCAAGATGTGAGACTGATGTGCTCAGTCTCATCACTTTTTAAACTCAGTAGAAAGTGTGGATTCTTACTTTGCTGTAGGATCAAATCCTACTAAACAAATCTGCTGAAAGTGATGGAAGAGTGTGTTGAGACCTTCCTGTGACTGGAGAGCAATGGCCTGCTCGAGAGCAGGAGCAGAGCATCAGGGAAGCAGTACTCCATGCTGACTTTTGAAGTCTTTGTTCTTTTTTTCAGATGAGTTGTCTTTTAACCTCTTTTCCTTCTGAAATGGTGTCCCTCTCACGTTGGAGGTGCTGTTGTGACACTGTGTGGTGCTGTCCCGCAGTCTCGGCTGCTTTTCACATGAGACCATTTTACACTCTCTCTTGGGTTAATGAGAGATTGCTGACTTTTCTGCAAAATCTACAAATCTGCCATTTTACTTAAGAATAAAAGTCCCATTTATCCTAATAAAACATTTACATACCATCTCATTCAGAGTAACTTTTTAATAAAGACCAACATTTTTGCAATACAACGAAATCAAGAATAAAGTGATTGCTCTAATATCTGTAAAACTGAAGACGAAAAGTGATTGCAGCATCTATAGGTGCAATGGATTCTTTATAAACTCAAAGTATTTAGGGAAGAACTAATGCAAATGCTTCAGTGCTCTGTATCTGATGATTTAGGAGATGAGAAGCTGCTGATGGAAGAGGGTCACATCTTTCAGGACACACCAAGGAACTTGTGTAGGAGCAGGAAGGGGTATTGCAAATATTTCTGCAAAAGCTTTGGATTCCAGAACTGTTAAAAAGGTAATGCAGATGGGATTCCATTGAATTGTACAATTTTGTCAGTATGGCTGGAAGGGGCTCATGATCCTTCATGATCCTCTCATTGTTCCAATGTGCACATAAATAAGGTTTGGCACAGCCCCTGTTGTAAACACTTTACTCTAGATGTGGTTGGATCTACTGAAATAATTGATTCTGTTGAATCAGAATACAAACACACGATTAGGCCACCCAGGCCCTGAGGGCAAAGGGGACAAAAGGAGTAATTCTTGATGGCATTTCAATGTTCAGCTTTCACTGGCAGTGATTTACAGAAATGATAGGAGATGATTTTCTTGTGATTATTCCTCATCCTTGTTCTTCACATCCAAGTTTGTCCCAGGTTCTGCTTATAGCAAAGAGAAATGTGATTTGCTCCCAAAGAAGCTGACTCTGTTTCCTTCACCTTTTGAAAACATCTAAACATCTATTCCCTAGACAGAATTTACCTAACATGTGTTATGATCCTCTCTGCCAGGGCATCAGTGTTGTTGCACTTCATGGCAATATGGTAATACGGCAATGGGGTAGCTTGTAAGAGAAAATATGAACTTTCCTATGAAAAAAATTTACCTCTGTTGAGCTGCAGAAAATAAACAGATAAGTACGTATACATTAAAAAAACAAAATAAACAACCAACCTTGTTTTAATCTTTGAGATGTTTTATTTGGAAATGACTCCTGAGTGTTGCAGGTCAGGCTACAGTCTCTCCCTGCTCTTTTAGGAACTACTCTCCCTGTAGGTGTAACTACAGCTCCCCTGATGCACTGTGTGTGTTGGGCAGTGCAATATGTGGCAGGAATCCCCTGCTGCTAGGCCTCATGTGGCTTGGCCAGGGAGACCAACCTGAGCACTGCTCATAAAACATCCATTTCTTTATGCACAGGAGCATAAATGAATTGAATGAAGGAATAAAAGCAAGATTTTGATTTTCCAGATTGTTTTTAATTGCAAGCGCAAAGAATGTGTTGGATAACAGAAACACTCCAGAAAAGAAACAAAATGCAGCTCAGCTCTACTTCGCAATAGCAGTTTCTGGTAAATTTTCAACCTGCCTTAATGAAAAGTCTGAAGGAGAGGTAGCTAGGAGATATTCTTATTTTCATACCATCCCCTGAGACAACTGCAGCCTTCACTTTCACAGAAAAATAAGACCAGGAAAAGGCTTGGGACTTTCTTTTCTTTTCTTTTCTTTTCTTTTCTTTTCTTTTCTTTTCTTTTCTTTTCTTTTCTTTTCTTT